TAACATAATCTATTTATCTCCAGATATTTTATAAATACTAATTAACTTGTAATCTTTTGGGGAACAGGTTAAGCATATATTATTAGAAACATTTTGGGGATGAGTTGGCTGTGAGGCTAAGGGACAAAACAGATCACAAAGCATTTTTATATCCAAGGAGGACTGGAATGAGTGGTGCTTAGCTCCTTCCGAAAACACTGTCATCTGTTTACTCATCAAGGCAGATCTCTTGACTTTTCTTACTCATAGATTTCCTCTATGCTAATACTTGCCACAGAAGTTTAGGTATACGTTAGTTCTTTCCAGAAGTGGGAGATAGACAATGAATTCTGTCCATACATTTCTTCCTTGAGAGTGGCTATTTTCTTCATAGTAAGAAACACATATTTAGCCACACATCATTATCCTTTCTTGAAACTCTATTAGGTATTAGAACATTCATTATACAATGTGCATATTCTAGGTCCTCAGAAATAATTGAGGTAAACTGTGAGTTATGTGGTATAAATGTTTGCTCACCTCAGGATAAAGACATTCATCATATTATCTTATTCTAACAGTAATAGGCTAATTTCCCCCCGATAAATTTTGTGTTTAGTTTCAAACATGCTTCAATACCTTCTTAAAAATTTTTTAATTTAAATTCAATTTAGTTGGGGTGCCTGGGTGGCTCAATGGGTTAAAACCTCTGCTTTCGGCTCAGGTCATAATCCCAGGGTCCTGGGATCCAGCCCCACATCAGGCTCTCCCTGCTCAGCAGGGAGCCTGCTTCCTCCTTTCTCTCTCTGACTGCCTCTCTGCCTACTTGTGATCTCTGTCTGTCAAATAAATAAATAAAATCTTTAGAAAAAATATATTCAGTTTAGTCAACCTATACTGTATTATTAGTTTCAGGGGTAGAATTTAGCAATTCATCAGTGGCATATAACACTCAGTGGTCATTACATCAAATGTCCACTTTAATCCCCATCACACAGTTACCCCATGCCCTCAATCACTTCCCCTCCAGCAACCTTTAGTTTGTTTCCTAGAGTTAAGAATCTCTTATGGTTTGTCTCCCTCTCTGTTTTAGTCATATTTGATTTTCCTTTCCCTTCCCTTTGTTCATCTGTTTCTTAAATTCCACATATAAGTGAAATTTATGGTATTTGTCTTCCTCTGACCAACTTATTTTGCTTAGTAGTTCCATTCATGTCATGTAAGTGGCAAAATTTCATTCTTTTTGATGCTTGAGTAATATTCCATTGTATATAAATACCACATCTTTTTTATTGTCTGTCGAAGAACATCTGGGTTCTTTCCATATTTTGGCTATTGTGGACTTTGCTGCTATAAACATTATGATACATGTGCCTTGAATCACTGATTTTGTATCCTTTGGCTTTGTATCTGGCTTCTTTTACTTAATATAGTGACTTCAAAGTTTCATCCATGTAGTAGCATGTGTCAGAATTTCCTTCCTTTTAAAGGATGAATAATATTCCATTGTATGCCTACACCACATTTTGCGTATTCATTCATTGTTGATGATCACTTGGGTTGTGTCTACATTTTAGTTGTGAATGATGCTGCTCTGAACATGGGTGTACAAATACCTTTTCAAGATCCTGCTTTCAATTCTTTTGGGTATATACCAGGAAGTGGAATTGCTGGAACATGGTAATTCTATTTTCAATTTTTTTAGGAGCTGCCATACTGTTTTTCATAGTGGCCATGCCAGTTTGTGTTCCTACCAATAGCGCACGAGGGTTCTAATTTCTTCATGTTTTTATGTCTTCCATGCTGTTTTATTTACTGTAGCTTTATAATGTATTTTGAAATCAGAAAGTGTGATTTATGCTTTCTCAAAATTGCTTTAGCTATTAAGGCCTTTTTTGTATCTATATGAATTTTAGGATTTTTTTTCTATTTATGATAAAAATGTCATTGGTATTTTGACAGGGATTGCATTAAATCTGTAGCTTGCTTTGGTAGTGTGGCCTTTTAAACATTATTAAACCTCTGATTCGTGAACATGGGATGTCTTTTGATTTATTTGTATCTGCTTTAATTTCTTTCATTACTATTTTGTAATTTTCAGTGTACAAGTCTGTCATGTCCTTAGTTAAGTTTATTCCTAAGTATTTTATTCTTTTTCATGCTATTATAAATGGGATTGTTTTCTTAATTTTCTTTTTGGATAACTTATTGTAAGTGTATAAAAATGTAACTGATTTTTATGTTGATCTTGTATCCTGCAACTTTGCTGAATTTATTTATTAGTTCTAACAGTTTTTGAGTGAAGTTTTTAGGGTTTTCTGTATATAAGAGCATGTTATCTGCAAACAGAGACAATTTTACTTCTTCTCTTCCAATTTGGGTGCCTTTTATTCCTTTTTCTTGCCTAAGTGCTCTGGCTAGGAATTCCAGTATTGAATAAAAGTGGTGAGTGGGGGGCACCTGGGTGGCTCAGTGGTTTAAAGCCTCTGCCTTCAGCTCAGGTCATGATCTCAGGGTCCTGGGATCGAGCCCCGCATTGGGCTCTCTGCTCAGCAGGGAGCCTGCTTCCTCCTCTCTCTCTCTCTCTCTGCCTGCCTCTCTGCCTACTTGTGATTTCTGTCTGTCAAATGAATAAATAAAATCTTTAAAAAAAAAAAGAAAAAAAAGTGGTGAGTGGACGTCCCTGTCTTATTCCTGGTATAGAGGAAAAGCTGTCAGTTTTTCACCACTGAGTATGATATTAACTGTGGTATTGTCATAAATGGCCTTTTATGTTGAGTTACATTCCTTCTATACCTAATTTTTTTTTTCTTGTAAAGATTTTATTTTTTTATTAGAGAGATGGAGAGAGAGCACAAGTACGCAGAGCAGCAGGCAGAGGGAGAGGGAGAAGCAGGCTTTCCTCTGACTAGGGAGCCCAATGTGGGGCTCGATCCCAGGACCCGGGGATCATGACCTGAGCCGAAGGCAGCCACTTAACCAAATGAGCCACCCAGGTGCCCCCTTCTAACCTAATTTGCTGGGCATCTTTATCCTGAAAAGGTATCGAATTTTGTCAAATGCTTTTTCTGTATCTATTGAGATGACCATATGATTTTTACCCTTCTGTCTGTTACTGTGGTATATCACATTTATTGATTTGTATGTGTTGAACCATTCTTGCATCCCAGGGATAAATCACATTTGGTCATGGTATATGATTCTTTTAAGGTATTGTTGAGTTTGTTTTGCTCCAGTTTTGTTGAAGAATTTTCCATCATATTCATCAGGGATATTGACCTGTAATTGACCTGTCTTGTAGCATCTTTGTCTGGCTTTGGTAGAAGAGTAATGCTGGCCTTATAAAATGAGTTTGGAAGTGTTTCTTCTCTTATTTTTTGGAAGAGCGTGAGAAGGATTGGCATTAATTCTTCTGTAAGTAGTACAATTCACCAGTGAAACCACCTGGTCCTGGGCTTTGCTTTGCTGAAAGTGTTTTTGATTACTGATGCAATCTCCTCACTCATCTTTGATCTGTTTAGATTTTCTGTTTTTCATGATTTAGCCTGGCAGATTGCATGTTTCTTGGAATTTATCTCTTGTAGATTATCCAATTTGTTGGCATATAAATGTTTCAGTATTCTCTTATAATCCTTTCTATTTCTGACATCACTTTTTATTTTATTTTATTTATTTATTTGACAGAGATCACAAGTAGGCAGAGAGACAGGCAGAGAGAGAGGAAAGGAAGCAGGCTCCTGGCCAAGCAGAGAGCCCGATGCGGGGCTCGATCCCAGGGCCCTGGGACCATGACCTGAGCCAAAGGCAGAGGCTCTAACCCACTGAGCCACCCAGGCGCCCCATCTGACATCACTTTTAATGTCTCCTTTTTCACATATAATTTTTATTTGAGTTCCTTCTCTCTCCCTCTGGTTGGTCTAGCTAAAGATTTGTCAATTTTATCTTTTCAAAAAACCCAACTCTCAGTTTTGTTGATCTTATCTATTTCTTTTTTTTTTTAGATTTTATTTATTTATTTGACAGAGAGATCGCAAGCAGGCAGAGAGGCAGGCAGAGAGAGAGGAGGAAGCAGGCTCCCCTAGAGAGCAGAGAGCCCGATGCGGGGCTCGATCCCAGGACTCTGAGATCACGACCTGAGCCGAAGGCAGCGGCTTAACCCACTGAGCCACCCAGGCGCCCCTGATTTAATCTATTTCTTTTCTAGTCTTTATTTCATTTATTTCTCTTCTAATCTTTATTCTTGCCTTCTGCTGACTTTTGGCTTAATTTCCCCCCTTTCTAGTTCCTTGATATGTAAAGTTAGATTATTTGTGAGCTTTCTTCTTTCTTAATATATGATTATCACTATGTAGTTCCCTCTTAGTACTGTCTTGCTTCATCCCATAAGTTTTGTTATATTTTCTTTTTCATTTGTCTCAAGATTTTTAAAAAATTTTTCCTTTGGTTTCTTCTTTGACCCATTCATTGTTCAGGAGTGTGTTAGTTAATTTCTATATATTTTTGAATTTTCCAGTTTTCCTCCTGTTACTTACTGGTTTCTAGTTTCATACTTTTGAGGCCAGAAAAGATACTTGTGATTTCAGTCTTCTTTAGTTTGTTAAGATGTGTTTTGTGGCCTAACATTGTAGAATTCCCCCCTTGCCCTATCTAGTTCCCCATCTTTCTCTCTTCCCTTCTACCTTCAAATATCACCATTTATATTTTTTTAATTTTTAAGATGTTTTTGATTCTTAAATTTCTTATTTCCATGTCTATGAGCATGTTGCATTCAGGGGTTAGATTTTACAGACTGTCTTATTCTCACCGCAGCACTCAGCAAGTGTGCTTGACCAGTGTTTATAGAAGGCAGGAGGAAGATTGAAAATTTTACAGAGAAGTGAAAAAGACTCCAACCAGTTTACCTGTTAAACTTACTCCTAACTTGTGAAGGCCACTGAATTAAACAAAAGAAGCTAAAAATCAGATTCAGTTCTCCTTGTGGATATGTTTAAAATGCCACGATTGACCAGAACCAGTAAAGATGACTTGCAACAGGAAGAACTTTTATTGACATGCCACCATAGAGAAAGCCAAAGAAATGTTACCATTTGACAAATAGCTTGTCTTAATTCATCGGAAGAAAAGCAAAAAACTAAGGGAGATTTTATTCAGGAACCTAGCTTCAGTTTCGTATTTTAATTTAGGGGCTCTTCTTCTGGAGTTCAGGAAGGCACCCTCTGTTCACTCTTCACGTTGTTGGCTTTGGTGGATTTCTCTTCCACAGTGTGAACTCTGGAGGAGAGAACTTTGCCACGAGGATCGATTTCTTCAACAATTGTTTTCACCATGGTGGTTTTAGAGGACTCTAAAATGACACATGAATTGCCAGAATTTATCAGATCGACCAAGAGGAGATAACTAACTTATCATTTGAAAGTTACACAAATGCATTTTCAATGCTAAACACAACTTTTGTTTACCTTTTATCTGATTCCCTGGTCCTCCGTAGCCTTTTGATTTAACACAAGAGCTGTAAAAATATAGAGATCTTGCATTAATTATTTCACTCTATTTTTTTAAAGGTTTATTTATTTATTGACAGACAGAGATCACAAGCAGGCAGAGAGGCAGGCAGAGAGAGAGGAAGAAACAGGTTCCCCACTGAGCAGGGAGCCTGATGTGGGGCTCGATCCCAGGACCCTAAGATCATGACCTGAGCCGAAGGCAGAGACTTTAACCCACTGAGCCACCCAGGTACCCCTATTTCACTCTATTTTGCCAGGGAAACTGGAAAACAAAGATTTAAGATAGGAGATCTCTGGATTCTGAAAGAACACTAGAAGGGGTTTGGTTATACATGATGTGGGTCATATATACTTTGTACTTGATTTCAAAAATCTTTAATAACCTTAAAGTATAAAGTGTTTTCTCAGTAGAAGCTGTATTTACCTATCCTCTCCATCAATCAGGCGGCAGTAGGTCTCAATTTCCTTTTCCAGGTGGACCTTGATGTCGAGGAGCTGCTCGTACTCCAGCTTCTGGCCCTCCGTCTCGGTTCTGACCTGGTGCAGCTGCTCCTCCAGGGCCCCGATCTGAGCCTGGATCTGGGCAAGCTGCGCACAGTAGTTGCCTTCGGTCTCGGTCAGGGAGCACTCCAGGGAGTGTTTCTATGGATCAGTAAGACATAGTTTAGTAGAAAATATCACAGTGCTGTTTTAGAATAAGGCAGAGCACTTAAAAGATATTTAAAAGAGATATCTTACAAATTTTTTATCTACAAATTTTTACCATATTTACCCCAAAGGGTCCCCCTTGTTCAATATTAATTGTTGCCTTTATTAGGTGTCATGCTGTTTTTCTGTTTGAGAATGACACAGTTGGTGGTGGATGTCACTCATATGTCCAGGAGTGTTAGCAAAGATAAACTTGTTTCTTCATAGGGCACAGTCTAAAGGTCTCTCTGCCCCACCTCTGCTTCTAGAGTCTGGTACAATTTGCCACATTTCCCAGGAATAAAAGTCCCCCTACAATTTGCTACTTTGTTTCTAATCATGTGATTAGTAATTAATAATTAACATTAATAATTAACTATTAATAATTAACAGCCCCATGGTGAACTGGATAAACACTGCTGAAATAGAATGACCCAAAGAAAAGAAAGACCTTTCTAAGCTTAAAATTGTTTGTAAATCCAAAGTGTTTATAAAGGGTTTCTCCTCAAGAGGGATGCTTGCTGTACTTTTAGATGGAATGAAGATGTAAGTGTCTTCCTCTTTCAACTGCAAGAATTTTTATGCCAAGTCCTAATTTTATATACATTCATACCCTCTTTTGTGGATAAACTCTGAAGGTTTGTTTACTAGCCATAGTGGGAAAAAAAAGTATAGACGTGGGAGTTAGGAAGTTTGGAGAGAAGCTCAGGTTCCTTTGAATTCAACTGTAGGACTCTGGGAAAACTGCTTAACTTCTTTGAATCTCAGATGGTTCTTTTGGAAATAATGACAGGAATTACAAAGTCTGCCCTGCCTAAGCCCTAGGGTTATTATGGACTCAAGTGGGAGAAAGTGCTGGGCAAACCCTTAATGAAAAGGTTACTATTATTATCAAGGGCGTTTAGCTTTATAGGCAACATGAATGCCTCTACTTTGCTTCTTGTTTATGCCATTTAAAAAGGAACTTGTAAGTGTTCTTAATTAAGTGACCCAAAGGAATGCCAGATGAAGATAGGAGGGATGCCAACGCATTTTTGCACTCCACCGGGATTTTTTTTTTTTTTTTTTTAATCTTTGGACTTGGGAGAGAAGATTCAGGGTAAAAACTATTTTCTTTTTCGAGTACCTCAAAGTAATTGTCCTTGCTCATTTCCAATGTTTCCTAATTATGAGCACCTAGGTCTACTTTTCAGGCCAAGAGGATTCTGCTGCTCAAAATGCAAACGCGGATTATGTCAAGCCCGCGAATTAACAGAGAAAAACGAAAATAAGTAATATCACGTGGAAAAGACGCTCTTTACATTTCTTCCCCACTTCTGAAATCAATCTTTTTTTTGGTACTGTTTACTGACCATTGCCAAGAGGGACTGGAGTTCGATCTCCAGGGTTTGAAGAGTACGTTTCATCTCGGTTAGCTCATTCCGAGCAGAGGTGGTGGCACCAGCGTCGTCGGAGATCTGCTGCTGCAGGGAGGCGCTCTGAAAGTTTGGGGAGGTAGGGGGTGGTTAGGGTGCTGCTGGCCTTGCATCAGCGCCCAGGGCCACACAAGCGCGCGCTGGCGGGGTTCTACCTTCTCGTTGAACCAGGCCTCCGCGTCCCTGCGGTTCTGCTCGGCCAGGGCTTCGTACTCCGCCCGCATGTTGTTCAGCAGGACCGTGAGGTCCACCCCGGGCGCCGCGTTCATCTCCACGTTCACGTTCCCTCCGGCCGCGCACTGCAGCGCCTTCATTTCCTGAAAAATTTGACCAGTTTGGAGCTGAATATTTTCAAAGGAACCAGACCGACAGGATGCATAAGTGAGAAACTTCGTTTCTTTGGAGGCGGGTGGATAGAAACATTTCAATCAGCCACACAGAGAAAGTGACGAGTTCCTTCTGGAATACTGATGTCGGACATTGTTGTACTGGTCATCTGAAATTCATTTTTAAATTTTGGGAGTAAGGCGGATCGTGGAATCGGGGAAGACAGAGACCTACCTCCTCATGATTCTTCTTGAGGTAAGCCAGCTCCTCGCTCAGGGTTTCCAGCTGGATCTCTAGGTCGGTTCTGCACAGAGTCAGCTCGTCCAGGACCCTGCGCAAACCGCTGACATCCGCATCAACGCTCTGGTGAAGGGCCTGTTCATTTTCAAACCTTAGAAGATATTTGACAGTTGTTATCACCTTAGTCCCATCACTTCTTAGGTCATCATAAAATGCCAACCATGATTCAAGGTCAAACTGTTAAAATATACTTAAAACTTCAGTTAGACTGCCCATAATGCAGTAAGCATTTCTTTGAAGTAAGAGAATGGGAACACTCAAAATTCTCTTTCATAGGATCTCGATATTCATTTGTATCGATTCTTAAATTTCCCAAGTAAAACAGATCATTCAGCTGGTCATTCTTATGTGCATTTAGTTCAAAACAAACAAGGTTAAACTATTGAGGTGACCCCCAATAGCTTAGCTTTAAGGCGGAAATGTTGAGAGAACTTCTTTGGTTTCTCTTCAGCTCTACTTACTTTAGCCTGAAGTCATCAGCTGTTAGTCTTGCATTATCATTTTGCAGGATAACATTGGCATTGCTGGTAGTTGCAGAAATGATCTGGTAGATGGAAAGTTAGTTAGAAGTTAGGAAATGTCACATTTCCTTGAAAGAAGGTCACCTATGAAATTATAGGAATCTTCTGGCATTCTGTCTCCAATAATAAGATGATTCTTTTGCAAATGGGAAACTAAATATGGCCTCTTTCACCCTTCATCACCCCCTCTACCATAAAGAAACACTTTCTATGGAAAAAGTTATAGATAATATAGCAAGAGATGGTGGGCGGTTTTTGATAGTTTCATATTACGAAAAGCATAAATATGCATACCTCATAGCAGGTATAGGTGAGCCGTGTTCAAAGATTACAATTTGAATGGAAATTATTTTTAATATTCATAATGAGTTATGGAAAATCAGAAGCTGAGAGCAAAGCCCTGCTGTGTGTGAGAGAGCTCACACATTCGTGTGTGCTTGTGTGGCTAAATATTCTTAGCGTTATTAACCCTCACAACATTGTGCTTCTTACCTGGTTCCTAAGGTCATCAATTATTGGGAAGTATCTGCTGTAATCATGATCAAGACCACGGCAAGAACCAGGCCCGAATTTCTCGTACCAGCCCTTGATCTTCTGCTCCAGGTCAGCGTTGGCCTCCTCTAGTGCTCGCACATTTTCCAGGTAGGAGGCCAAGCGGTCGTTCAGGTTCTGCATGGTCACCTTCTCGTTGCCCGACAGGAGGCCGTGTTCATTCCCGGTGAAGGCAGCGCAAGAAGCACTTCCTCCACCCAGCCCCCCGCCATAGCCTCCTGCAGATGAGCTGCCCCCAAAAGCGCAAGAGAAGCCACTTCCAATGCCCGGCACACCACATGCATTTCCAGCCCCAAAACCCGCTCCCCCGCTGGAGCCAAGCCGTCTGGATGCAGAAGAAAAGCGCATAGACATGATGTCCAGACCCGCAGAGCTTGTTCCTGGAGTGAAGCTCTGATGGCAAATGTCCAGTTCGAACAGTTGAGTTTGTCTTTATATACACATTATCAGGGTGTTTCTCGATGAACCTAGCTACCCATAGCAAACTGGTGTTTGCCAGCTCATCATGAATTATTCATAATTGGGTGATTTTTTTTTTTTTAATGAATGCCTTTACCCTACTGTGTCCATTTCCGTAGGTGGATAGTTACCTTGGGGTTATTTGTTATCTCCAAAATGGGACAGGGAGGAGAATTATCAAGATTATTATAGTGATGCATTTCAAATTTAGTATGAGCAATCCTTCCTGTCTTCCAGGTTTCAAGACTACAGAATTCCTATAAGAATAAAAAAGCATCTAGACAGATTTCTCTTTCCTTGCTCAAACCGATGACATTACATTTTCTTTAGCAAGTGAGCCATCACAGTCATGGGTTTCAGTGGATAATATGGTCTTTCTTTGAAAATAATTTCAAGACCAAGTCTCATGGTACCAGAGGAAGGAGGCCAGGTCTTAAATGAGAAATGAGGATTTAAATGGACTCTTCTTTGGAGACAGAAAGTCTTCCTTGATCCTTATCCCTCCAGAATTACCATTTCATCTTTACTGGTTTTCTGTCTAAGGTATAAAGGTATTAGCTAATTTCTCTGGGTCCAGCTTTCTTATCTGTAAAACGAATGGACCAGACTATGGCCTGTATGTTCCCTTTCTATTTCTAGATTTCTTGTATTTTTATATTTCTTTCCTTTCATTATTTCTAGAAAGACTTTCTGCATTTACTTCCTCCATACTTCCCCTCCTATTCACTCCTGAATTTTGGTCCCCTACTTTACTGAAAATAACCTCAGATTGCTAATTATCTCACATCCAGTCCAGTCATTGTTTCTTATGTTTATTCTCCTACACCCTCTTGGACACATTTGATACTGACCACCGCAGGCTTACTGAATTCTGAACAAATGCCCTCTGAAAATACTTCCATTGGAATATTTCTGCTTGTTCCTCTTCTTTCTTCCATTTGGTGTATCTGTGCTTTATATCTTGTCATTCCTTATAGTTTTGTGCCTGGCACTCTTGTTTTCTACACATTATTCTTTGGTGCTGTCATCCCTTCTTGTCACTTTGACTGTAAGTGAATGGTTTCTAAATATACATCTTTAACACTGGCCTGTGTCCCATTCTAGACCTACGCCTCACTACGCCCACCAGACATTTCTGCTGGATGATTTCTAACTCAACACTCAATTACCTTGTCATCAAACTTTGAACTTTTCTATCTTTTTTCATTACCTATTGGTGAAATTACCCTAAGTCACGCTCATGATTGCTAAGAAATCTTTAATTTCTATCATCTTTTACAGGCCTACATCTAGCAAGTCACTAGGTCCAACTGAATCTACTTCTGTGGTGCCTTTTGAAACATTTTTCTCTTTTCTATTTTTTTCTCACTATCATTTTTTTTAGCTCAATGATTGGATTTTTGGTTCAAGTCTTTTTCCTTTCCACCCTGGTCAGTAGGCAGAGCAGTAAGTTAAGATACCATTCCTGTAATAATACACAACCATTCATGTCATTGAAAGAATGTGAGTTCTTTGATCAAATATATCATCATTCATATCCTAGTTCTGCAATTTTCCGGCTGTGTGACCAATGCAGAGTTCCTTCTTGCTGAGCCTCCGTTTCTAGGACGGATACATGACTTGTGTTTTGTGAAGCTATTAAATGGTAGTTACATTTGTAAAGCAATTATGCTTGTCGATAATATGTAGTCAGTAAATATTTCTTTCCTTTTCCCACTTTCCTACAGCTTAAAATCAATGGACTATAAGCTTGATAAAGCTCCTTCGCCTGATGTGTAAGTTTCTTCTTGAGGTAGGTCATACCTACCTGATTTGTGCATTCTTTCACTTTACTATTCTGCTCCCCTCCCTCCTTTTGATCTTTGCTCTTGTTGTTCTTTCCAGTTGAGACTATTTGAGATCTTGCACTTGCCAAGAACAATGGACATCACTCTCAATCATACAGATTAAAAATGAAATTGCTAAAAATATAAATTTTCATGACCTAATAAGTGAATCTGCAGAAAAGCAAGCCAGAAAAATCTGTTGATCAAGAAATCATATTAATAAAGCATTAGAATTTATTGTATTGCATAAAATCATGACATGAAAAATGTTATTTTTAGCAATTTGTAAGATTATATTATTATATATTACTACTACCTCTACTACATATTTTTTTTTAAAGATTTTATTTATTTATTTGAGAGAGAGAGCATGAGAGGAGAGAAAGTCAGAGGGAGAAGCAGACTCCCTGCGGAGCTGGGAGCCTGATGTAGGACTAGATCCTGGGATTCCAGGATCATGACCTGAACCGAGCCAAAGGCAGTGGCTTAACCAACAGAGCCACCCAGGCACCCAACAAGGATTTTTTTTTTGTAAGTAGGCTACATGCCCAATGTGGGGCCTGAACTCTTAACCCTGAGATCAAGAGTCACATGTTCTACTGTCTGAGCCAGCCAGGTAACCCCACTCTCCTGCATGTTTTAAGTAATAAAATATATTTTTTAAAAATTTATTTATTTATTAATTTATTTGACACAGAGAGAGAGAGAGAGAGACAGTGAGAGAGGGACTACAAGCAGGGGGAGTGGGAAAGGCAGAAGGAGGCTTCCTGCTGAGCAGGGAGCCCAGTGGGGGGCTCGATCCTAGAACCCTGGGATCATGTCCTGAGCTGAAGGCAGAGGCTTTAACGACTGAGCCACCCAGGTGCCCAGTAATAAGACATTTTAAAGAAAGAAATTTATGTGTTAGTACCTCTAACTGAACCTTTTCCTGACTTTTGGACAAGGGACCTGATACTTTCATTTTGCACTAGGCCCTACAAATTAGGTATCCATCTGTGATTGTTGGGTCCTTCTCTGGGGTAGCCAAAGAGTTCTAGAGAAAAGACCTGCAGATACTTTGAGTGTTTCCCATAAGAGAATGCTTACTACCCATCCACCCTGGAGTGAAATACACACATTGCCTCCAAATATTTAGGACCTTACTTTTACAGATGAGCAGAATTTTAAAAATCACCATACATTGAAAAAACATTCCAGCATGAAAGACAAAGACTTGAAGAAAGAAGCAAAAAATGGCACTTGACAAACAGACAATCGAGGAAGCTGAAGAAAACTTAAAAAAAAAAACAACCAAAAAATGAAACTACCTATCATTAATGCCCTTAGAAGTAACAAAAATACTACATATTTGAAGCATGAATAGAGTGTCATTAAAATTAAACAGCAGAGCACAAGAATGGGCTCTCAGAATGAAAAAAAAATAACTCCCAAAATAATTTCCAAAATAACTTCAATAGATGCATTGGAAAATAAGCTTTAAAAAAAAAATCTCCCTAGCAGTTGAGCAAAGGTCAAAAAGACAGATAAAAGAAAGGATTAGAAAATTAGAGGCTTAGTTCAAGAAGAACAACCTTAAGTAAATCTTTCAGAGAGAAAGGGGAAATGATGAAGAAATTATTTTATAAGTATATTTTATAACACTACTCAGAACTAAAGGACTGAGCTTCTAAATTGAAGAGACCACCAAGAACTATGAGTAATAAATGAAAAAGAATCAGAGCAGAGCACATGCTCAGTTTATTTCAGAGAACCGTGGAGAAAAAGAGAACACAAAGTGACAGAAGAAGAGACGACACCCATCCAGTGATGGGGAAATCAGATGGCTCTGAACTTCCCAGCAACCCTGGAATCCATGATTCCAGTGAAGAACGCCTTCAAAATTCTCCTTGAAAATGATGTCCAACCCCAAATTCTCTACTACAACAATTAGTCATGAGTGAGGGAGAAAAATATTTTCAGACATGAAAGGTCTCAAAACATTGATCTCCTTCACACATTTTGTCAGGAAACCACTGGAAAGAAAAGTGAACAAGAAAAGAGAGAGCTCAGAATCTGAGAAATGGGGTCCCAGTACAAGTGCACCGAATGCATGACCCTGAAGATAGCTGGTAGCAAGTCAGAAAAACCAATATGAGAAGAGAGGATTCTTGAGTTGGATGTCCAGATGAAAGATGAAAAAGATGGATGAAAATAGGTGGGGATAGATGGAAATGATGGATTTTGTTTGTTTGAAAATGGTTTTGTTCATGTAAGAAAGAGGCATGAGAGATTAAGGTATACAGGAAACCAAGTTAGTAAAAATGTTAGGAAAATATTTTGAAGAACAAAAAGCTGTACAAGAAAACATGACATATACTGCCAGCATAATGATGAACAATATCCACTTAGTCATACTGGTGAGAAGACTGAACACTGGTTTAGCCAAATATTGTGGTAGAGCTATGTTAGGAAGAGGAGAAAGGTGGTAAAGGCAAAACGCTCAACTTTCTTTTAAGAGCACAATATATAATATGTAAAACTGGTAAATCAAGAAATATTGAATGAAGCATATTATTTAAAAAATCTAGAGATAAAGATGACAAGGAAGAGCTAAAAGAGTTGTAAATGGTTGCCTGTAGAGGGCAGAGCTTGAGGTAGAAGAAGGGAGAGAAAAAGATACCATTGTTTTTTGTTTTTACTTTACTTTTATTTTATATTTTATTTATTTATTTAATTGACACAGAGAGAGAGAACGCGAGAGAGGGAACACAAGCAGGGGGAGTTGCAGGGGAGAAGCAGGCTCCCCACTGAGCAGGGAGCCAGATTCCAGGACTCTGGGATCATGACCTGAGCCAAAGGTAGATGCTTAACATGTTATGACTGAGTCACCCAGGCACCCCTTGTTTTTACTTTAAGCACAATTTAACTGTTAAAACAACGTGCATTCATTACTTCGATAAAAAGTAAAAATTTATTTAAAACTAATAAAGAGAAAAAAAATCCCAAATACATGTCAGAAGTTTCATTGTAAAATTTACAAATAAACTTGATACATAATGCAATTTAAAAGAATAGACATTGTGGTATCTCCATGTCTCGCAGTTAAATAAGACTAGATGAAATACCCTAATGCT